ACATTCATGTTGATTTTGTCATATCATGGGGATGGGGAGGTGTTGTAACCAGGTCAAATTCTGTTTTAGTCCATCATTCATATTCAGACAATTTGAATCCCAATTGATATGAAGTGTTTCTCATATAAGTTGTTCTTTGTGATTTCTGAGAGTTTTCTGGATTATTTCAATATCGTCAAAATTAATTTCATGGCCTGATTCTGTAGCGTTCGGACCTATGGCTGATGATTTTTCTAGCTGTTCTAGTTCAGCTGGATTTCTTGGTGGTCGATCAGATGCTCTATGGTGTTCATTTCTTCTGATGTTGATTTCTCTCTGGCAATGTTTGTCCGATGTATATCGCATAAAATCCCAAGCATTTTATTTTATTGACACAATTAGATCGAGAATATTTAGGGGTTTAGTCTTTCACATGAACAAGGTTGCTTTGTAGTGTGCATGCCTAATATTTTGAAGAAAATTCTCATGTTGTGCTTATTGGCTACTCTTCTGATATCGTCTGACGTTTCTAATCTATGTGGAATGACAAATGTTGAGGCCTGTGTCTTTGGAATACGTATTCCACCACGTTTATTGTCAATGTTGATCTTGTTGATGAAGTTCCATGGGTAGTTGTTTTGCTTGAGAGTCTCAGTAATGTTTGACATTTCTTCTTTTTCTTTCTCATCCGTTATCAAAAAGTGTGGTCGTCTAAGAAGACCTGAAACAACTGATACTTTTGCGCTGATAGGGTATGATTATCCGAAGTCTAAATATTTATTGGAGTGGGTTTTCTTCCGGAATATGCATATACTAAAGAGTTCGTTTTCCTTCCTCCTAACTAAGCGGTCTAGAAATGGTAGTCCACCGACGTCTGATTCTGCCCACTTCTGAAGTAAATTGGATTCTGGGAGATAGACTGTTTATTTTCTCCAGGAATGAACTGTATAGATATCGTTTTAACACTACAAAAGTATCATCTACATATCTTCACCATATTTTGGGAGTGAGTATCCTTGAAAAGATGTTATCTTCGAATCTATTCATGAAAACGTTCGCGACTATTGGGGAAGTTGGTGAACCCATAGCAACACCATTTGTCTATCTACATAAATTCCCTTTAAATGTAGAACAATTGCTTTCTAGACAGAATTTCAAGCTCTCAATTATTTCACTGGTGTCCAGTGGACATCTTTGTGATAGAGTTGTATCTGATTCTAGTAAACACTTTGTAGAATCAAGCCACAAAATTGATTTTAACAATACTGAAATAATCCAGAAAAACTTCAGAAATCATAAAGAACGTCTAATATCAGCAGCACTTCATATCAAGTTGAATCGAAATCGCCTGAATAGGAATGATGGACTAAAACAGAATCTGACCTGGTTACAACACCTCCCCATCCCCATGATATGACAAAATCAACACGAATGTGATAAGCAATTTCATTATGTAAGCATACGTTGCTTGTATAATTTTTTACACTTATCAAATCCAACAATCTACACCTGGTTTTGTTATCTTTATCAACTGACCAACTTGACAAGGCAAGAATGATTCCATGCTAATGAACGATGATTAAGTTGTTATATATATAAGCAGAGTGGATTTTGTAAATTCTGGTTTCATATTACTTTGATAAAGCGATTAGCAGCATTAAATAGCGAAACGTCAGTAGAAACAACAATATCGTTTTGTTTTTCATTTAATGTGAAATATAAATACCATTATGAAAATGAATAGCATATACTTAATACCCAAATTTAAACAAACTGTTAAAAGTGAACTTGGTTTGGTTGGTTGGTTTAATGACGAAACTTCCATTATCTTCCTGGACAACCTCTTCAGTCAAAACAAGTCTGTAATGAACGTTATTTGAATTCTCCATGAATATATAACAGCTTTACCAATAAAAGTGATCGAAACTCATGCAAACTAACAACTAATCACATCAAAAGCTTATCAAGAGGAACAAGCACGTCATTCTTGATTTCACTCTGTATCAAAACCAAGAACTAGACGCATGACATCAGTTACTATCTAGTGTCCAGTCGAAGGGTCCATTAAAGTCCTACAGGAGTTCAGCTGAGGATCTAAATACCTTAGCGTTAACGTCTCTGGCTGCAGCACTGCGTGACTCAGTTTCGAATATTGGAAGGGATATAGATTCCTTCAATCTTATAGACAATCCTTCCTGACGAATGCGATCACACATGAAATATAAGTCCAAGCCTTCCTTCCACCTGTCTCAAATCACCTGATAAGAATTCAGATAACTCCATTATGGATAAGATTTTATTTTCGTAAAATCACACAGTATTATGCAGTAATATTAACTGATATTACTGTATAACACTATATGACTTTATGAAAATAAAATCTCATCCATATTGGAGTTATACTCTACCATAGTGCCCAAGTTTTATACTTGTATCAATAAGAATTCAGATAAGTTCACTTCAAATTAAGGTGGGCGCCGAAGATTTTGTCCACAAAAACATCGAAGGCTTCTCAATCACACTGCCCACTTTAGAAAACACAACCACATCATATCGACGGGACAACAATATTAGACGGTGTATTATTGATATAAGTATAAAACTTGGGCACTGTGGTAGAGTAAAACTCCATAATGGTTAAGATTTTATTTTGATAAATCACACAGTGTTGTACAGTTATATTAACTGATGACGTTTCGAGCACAAACTATTGCTCATAATCATATCAAGTTACTCACACAACTTTTTCCTTCATTTATATACATGTATGGAATCGATTAGATTTTGGAATAAAATTCAATATGAGATGATGTACATTCAGAAATAATAATATGACTGTTATTGATCAATTACAATTAGATGGGAAAAAAGACGAGTGTTTTTATAGTCATAGTAAGTTGATTGTTAGAATGTTTTGATGTGTTTGAATTGAAATAGAAATTTAAGATTATTTATCATCCTCTTCTGATTTGACTGGTGGCAATAATACGAGTGTTATTAATCCATTGCAATTAGATGGGAAATACAACGAGTGTTTTTTACAGTCATAATAAGTTAATTGTTAGAATGTTATGATGTGCTTGTATGGAAATAGAATTTTAAGATTATTTATCATCCTCTTCTGATTTGACCGGCGGTAATAATATCTTCCATATTTCTGGTATTTGCATTGAGTCACTTCTGTTGCATGTGTTGGGTGTGGACTCGATGAATAAGGATTCCGTAATCAACCTCTCTTTCCACCTACCTAGATTACTTTTTAGAATTTTAACCCTATCCCACCCTATTGTGTGGTTGTTTGTTAATGCGTGTGTGTGTTAATGCGCCAAAAATATGGTGGAGATATGTAGATGATACATTCACAGTGTTAAAAACAGAACATATCCCTAGCTTCTTAACACATATAAACTCACAAGTAGAAGGAATAAAATTCACATCTGAATCAGAAAATGAACAAGGAGAATCAACCATGTTAGATTGTAAGATAAAACGAATAGAAGAAGGCAAACTACACACTAGTGTTTATAGAAAACTAACGCATTCTAATAGATATTTAGACTTTAATTCGTCTCATCCCTTAACAGTTAAGGCAGGCTTAGTTAAGTGTTTAACAAACCGAGCCATAGCACTAAGTAGCACAAAAAAGGACCTGAATGACGAAATAAAACAGATAGAAGAAGCGTTGGTGTTAAATAACTATCCTCTAAAATTCATTAAGAAGATCAGTAAAGGACAAAAACAAAATAAAAATAATTGTGTAACTAGTAGTAATAACATAATTAAGAGAGAATATAAATCTTCTACTGTTATACCATATAAGCAGGGGACATCTGAGGCCCTACGTAGGATTCTCAATAAAGCAGGAATTAGGGTGGCATTCAAACCCACAAACTCACTCAGGTTGAAAGACCCGTTGGACCCAATTAAACAAAATAATATAATTTACAAGATACCCTGCAATGACTGTGAAGTCAACTACATAGGTCAAACTAGTAGATCAGGGATAGTCAGAGTATCAGAACATAAGAATTTAGCTAAGGGAAAACTGATTGACCCTGAAAAGATAAGTAATTTAGAAAAAAGCTCAGCTATTGCACTTCACGCATTAACAAACAACCACACAATAGGGTGGGATAGGGTTAAAATTCTAAAAAGTAATCTAGGTAGGTGGAAAGAGAGGTTGATTACGGAATCCTTATTCATCGAGTCCACACCCAACACATGCAACAGAAGTGACTCAATGCAAATACCAGAAATATGGAAGATATTATTACCGCCGGTCAAATCAGAAGAGGATGATAAATAATCTTAAAATTCTATTTCCATACAAGCACATCATAACATTCTAACAATTAACTTATTATGACTGTAAAAAACACTCGTTGTATTTCCCATCTAATTGCAATGGATTAATAACACTCGTATTATTGCCACCAGTCAAATCAGAAGAGGATGATAAATAATCTTAAATTTCTATTTCAATTCAAACACATCAAAACATTCTAACAATCAACTTACTATGACTATAAAAACACTCGTCTTTTTTCCCATCTAATTGTAATTGATCAATAACAGTCATATTATTATTTCTGAATGTACATCATCTCATATTGAATTTTATTCCAATATCTAATCGATTCCACACATGTGTAGAAATGAAGGAAAGAAGTTGTGTGAGTAACTTGATATGATTATGAGCAATAGTTTGTGCTCGAAACGTCATCAGTTAATATAACTGTACAACACTGTGTGATTTATCAAAATAAAATCTTAACCATTATGGAGTTAGACGGTGTATTCACAATGAATGATTAAATGCTAACACAAATAATGAATTCCTATTTCTACATTTATCAATTATATAAAAATATCAACTGTCATTAGCAGTTCGATATACAATTTCAAATAAATGTCAGACATTTCAAAATGGTCGCCACTTTTTTTGTTTTAATACATTCAAAAGGAATTTATCAATACATTATAACAAAAGGTTGCCTTTTTTTCTCTCAATATTCAAGTATCAGTCGCTAAATAGATTTCTAAAATAAATTATAAAGGTAAAAGCATTTATAATATTTGTAATTAAATAATAAAGTAATAACTAATAACTATTCTATCTACAAAACTATAAATATGAATCCTTCTGTTCAATGTTCAATGTGTGCATTAATTGTTTTGTTTTTTGTTTTATTATTTGTACATACATAATTATTGATTTTTTTTTGTAAATTCAGAATATTTGATCAAAGCATATATGTATATGTATGTCATACAAACATATATGCATATAAATGTATACAGGTGCATACATTTACTCATCTTCTCATGAGATTGGTTGAAGACGATAACAGTCAATAAAGGGTAGAGTAGTAAGTATTATTAAAATATCTTGAGTATTTTCAGTCTAAAAATACATTTTCAGAAATAAATTGAAACAGTTAGGTTTAAAAAGGTGTTCTGTTCTGTGAGGATATATCATACTGTCCTTAACCATAGAAAATCACACCTTCTAATATACACATACACACACGTAAAAAGAAATTATACCAAAAGCCTGCTGAAAAAAAAACAACCCCAGTAACACCTAATTCAAAATGGACAAGAAGTTAGACAATCGTCGTGCTTTAATGAAATCTTCGGATATGCAGGCGGGATTACAGAAAATTGTTGTCGACACGTGTGCAGTAGCTACAGAACAGTATGATGAAGAACGCGATATTGCTGCTTATGTTAAAAAACACATGGATAAATATGATGGGGGTGTTTGGCATTGTGTTTTAGGCAAAAATTTCGGGTGGTAAGTTCAGTATTGTAAACTATGATAATAACAGTGATAACATTAACTGTAATAATAATAATAGTAATAATAATAATAGTGATTAATTAATAGCATTTCTCTAGTCTTTTGTGTTTCTGCTGACTGAATTCCATTAATTTTCTATAGTTTGGTTTGTAAGGGTTAGTTATGTTTTTACGAGTTGATCACGGATTGATATCAATGGTTCTCTAACTGACTGACTAACTAACCCTTACAAACCAAACTAAAGAAAATTAATCTGATGCTCGCTAGTGACTTGTTACAGGATGAAGTTTCTTGAAGTTCTAGTGAGAAGTCGTGACCAGTGAAGTCCAATTAAATGTCACGTATGTGGATGGATATCTCACCAACGACAATGGTTGGGGTCGCGCTAAATCACGAATTGATAGAAGTTATAATTCATGGGCTTGTCATTGAATCGGGTCCCAGTGGCTGAATGGTATACGAGCTAGCTTGCCTTGAAACCGGAAGGTCTTGGGTTCGAATCCCAGTGAGTGCGTACTGCCAGTGACTCCCAAACTAGGATGAAACAGCAGCTGTCCAGTACTCCCTGGTTTTCAATGGTTCTCTAACTGATATTAATCCGTGATCAACTCGTGAATTCCATTAGCCAAGTTTGCCATGTGGTCACCATGTTAAGTGACTTGTTAATGGGGTGAGCTTCAAATTACTATTAGGTGTATGCAGTGTGACTGAAACTTTCGTTGATGACGGTTCAGATTCTTGAATGGATATTTCTTCCTTTAAGATTTCATATGCACCTTGCTGAGTAGTGAGTGGCAAAAGGTACGAAAACTTGGTTCACGACTTCATGTTAACGTCTGAATCTGTTAGTCATTACGACCTAGTCGAATAAAGCAGTTAGAAGAGAAATACCACATTATATCTCATCTGAACGATGATATAAATCATTGAAAAGTTTGACAGTAAGAAGCATGGATACATGGGTACATCCCAAAATGGTTTTACAAGGAAGAAAGAAAGAAAGAGTATGAGGAGGTCTACTCTAGAACATTCAGTCGACTTTCGTCATTCAAATAACTCTGAAGATGCTTTTAAAGTCATATATGAATAAATGCAGTGCGTTGGTGGCACAGCGGTAGAACGCTTGTCAACCACGCAAGTGGTACGGGGTTCCACTCCAATACCTCACTAAGCCAGTAATAAGACTTGTAAAAGAGGAAGGTTAGGCATGAGGCTAGCAACCTCATCGCATAGAAATAAATATCATTGCTGCGGAAACTTCAAAGCTCTAGCTTGAAGCCCTATGTTCCATTGGGAAGGTAAAGGAGTTTTAAAAAAATGAATTCATGCAAACCTCAAGCACTCTCTTTTATTAAATGTCAATTTTTTCAATAACAACCATCTGGAAGGAGCATCTTTTTGTGGAAAGCATTTTTCTACCAAACTGTAGGTTCCTGTGGATACTCTTGTTTAATCCTAAGTGATATAACTCTGGATGGCTATAAGTGCAAGTGGAAAAGTTTTTAAGTAGGCTAATATGAAATTATATACTACTAAAGTGTTTAATGTCTTTCATTTATACCAGCAGGGTTCATTTGTAACACCTTAAACATCTTAGAAAATAGGAATTCACTGAATAACATCCGATTGTTGAAATGTTTTGACAGCTCTATCATTTGTGACACTTGACCCCCCAGTCAGTCGATTACATGTTTAAACGAGGACTTAATAATTATTTCTTAGTGAATACATATATTACATCCCATATTATATACTAATTTACATTTGTGTGTAAACTTACACATACCCAAGGAGGTATAGTTACTCCTCGCTCGAATGGATGGAAGAACAGACGCTTAAAAATGTCGCGAAAAATAATTTGAACTCTGAAACCTTGATAAACGCAGGTGTCAGACTACCAACCTGGTCTATAAACAAAACGCATAATTCATATAAATCATAAGACTTCAATAGTAGATGGGTCATAATAAAATATACAATAGCTATTGGTCAAACTGAACCCCACCTTTCTGCGTGTACGAAAACAATTTATTATTAGCCTTAATGTGGCTTAATAATTATAATCTGATTATTTAATTGGTGGATGATGACTAGGAGTGGAATTCAGGATGCGTGTTTCGTCCTATTTGGGATTCTTCAACTGGATGTACCTACATTCCACAGTGAGTGATGATGTTCCCTAGTGAGGCAGACAGATCCATCTGACGAGTCCCAGATAGGACGAAATGTGCATCCTGGATTCCACTGCTAGTCACCATCCACCATTAAATTCTAATTACATGCCCAGACATCCTCGAAGCATCTGCACAAGAAGCCGACATGTCAACCTGAGATAGAGCACTTCATTCCAATCAATCGACAAGAAATTCTAAAATTCAATTAAAATAATCTGATTAATATTAAAGTATTGGTTTCGTGAATTGGCAGAAGTTAGAATTCATGGGCCACTGGGTGGGGTCCCAGTGGCTCACTGGTATACGAGCTCGCCTTGTAACCAGAAGGTCCTGGGTTCGAACCCCGGTGGGTGCGTACTGATGAAGAGTCCCAAACTAAGACGAAATAGCTGTCCAGTACTCCCAGGTTTTCCAGTGGTTCTGTAACCAATGTCAGCTCATGATGAAACCCTGTAACTAATATGATTGAATTGACAATGTGCTCTATTATTTTGTTTATTTTAATTAGTTTTCCATTTTTTATATCAATCCATTTGAGAAGTATACATATATATGTGTGATCAGATTGTTTGAAATGTTTTGCGTAAAAAGGCATCATATTTGTCTGATAAATTTCGTCTTTAACATAACGCTATCCATATTTAATTGTTTTAAATATCTATGTGTGTGTGTTTGCTGAAGTTTACACATACATGCACGCAAGTGAAATGATTGATCAATAGATTGCAGGTAGATAAATATGTATATATTAGTTTGTAGTGCATTAGTGGCTATAGGATAGAAGTTTTGGTTGATGGAGTCCACTGTGTCAGATTCAAACGGATGTTTATCTATGTATGTCATTGGTTAGTGATAGGGCTATATCGCTAATTGATAGGAGTTAGAATCCACCGATGACTGAATTCTAACTGAACGGCTAAATCATCAGCGGACTGGCGTCATAACTCGAAGGTAGTCAGTCTAATTCATAAAGGAGTCATAGATACGCGCTGAGGAAGAGTTTAAAACTAGGGCGAAGCAGCTATCCAATAACCTAGCTGATGTCGATTCGTGACGAAATCAACGACTGAAGTAGGTAATAGTTGACTGGTATGTGTAGGATTAACTGCATTTAGAGATTACTTTGAAGTAGAATGGGTACTTTCAATTCTTTTTTTCTGATAAACACTTCCAGATAATATCGACTTAAGGTCTCAAAATACTGTTTAAGACGTAATAAATGACAAATTCTCTTGGTGATACTGTCAAACTCTTGACAGGAGACCTGCTTACATTTGTGTTCGATAGAAGTCTGTGCTATATATATGTAATTTATTTCTTTGACTTCCGTGTGGAAGAGTTCCAGTAGTTGTAGTGGTATTCTTTCCTGACAACGTGAGGTTGTCAACCCCAGGCCTAACCTTCCTCCTTTTCAGGACTTACTACCATCTAAACTTGGTTAAAGTATGTCGGTCAAGGACTGGACCGCAGACCATGTGCGTGATTGGCGAGTATTTTACCGCTGACCCACCGATGCATGATCTTAAGAACGACTCATTTATTCCTCATCCGTCATTTGTTTTGAGCTTCAATAAATAGGTGGTAACGTATCTGACTGCATTAGTGCGTGATGTAAGTGGAATCTTATAAGGGACACGGGTTCCTTCAACATCACAGGTATGCTTTCCTGATGAGTGCCAACAAGCACGAAGCCTGAGTCAAAGGCTACTTCCACACTGCTTGAGTACATGCATATATATATATATACATATATATAAAGCTTAAATTCGATACTTCTGTACGAGAACTGTTTATTGATTTTAAGCCTGTTGTATCACCAAAAATTCTTTTTTCACCAGACTTTCATACCTAAAAGGAAATAAAAAGCCTCTACATCTTGTTTCTCTCTTTGTTCAGCATTTTACCTTCAACGAATTTTTTTTGGAAATCATTTTTGAAAATATTGCGTATTACTTACTTTTAATTTAGTATCCTCATACTATATCCATAATTTATTTGCTTATCTGCACAATTGACTGTTATATTCGCCTTACATTTAGAAAAATTACGGATTGGTATTTATTCTGAACTTTGTCTAGACTCGTCGAGTTACCAACGCTGTCCAAGACGAAGTGGTATTCTATATTTTGTGGCCATGGTTGACTATTTTACTAGGTGTGGTGTGAGATGGTACCAGTTCCACAGAAAGACGCAGTTACTGTGGCGAAAGCGTTCTGCAACACATGCGTAGCACGGTATGGAGCCCCAGTGGCCTTACACGCTGAACAGTCAGCTTGGAGCTCAGGTTTGTTCTATGTTCGGAATTAGAAGGACACACACACTACTTGGTATCATCTACAGGGTGACGGCTTGATAGAACGTACAAACCGAATAATTAAAGCAATACTTCGTACTTTCATCAGTTGCACGATGAGTTCTTGACAATAAACAGCGCCTGAATAGTTGCTGATTTATGTACTCATTCGGGTTTTAAAAAACACTAGTAGTCCTACTGATGGCTTAACAGTAAATTCTGTGGTCTTGTGACTGAATAATGCACATGAAATATGATTGTATTGAAGGTTCGGAATGAAAACGTTTATAGGTTGCTGTTATATATCTGTCACCAATTTATATGATCTCATCGAAATCTGTTATAAACAAGAGGACTTATACGTGTGGGTATAAGAATACTGACGAAATGAACAACTCAGCTGATATGCTGGGTACATCTGTTCGTCTGTCCTACCTTCTGCTTCACTGAGCCACATAAATGTCGAAAGACAAAGACTGGGTTGTGACTGCAAGGATACAATTTTTATTAGGAAAAAGCACGTGTCAAGGAACTTAACCCTAAGTTCCTATTATTTGCGAAGACGCTCCAAATCGATAATTACTAGGTACGATTATCGACTTTAACTCCAAAACGCAAGGACTTGTAAGAAAGAAATTGTATTGTTCGGCAGATAAAATCTTTATCGTACAATAGTCTGTAAACAAATGTTTAACAAGGAATGTACTGTACTTTTATTCGTATTCTTTCGTCTTCTTCCAACTTGTACACGAGTGAATCATTCGCGCCTTCGTGTTGCCCAACAATGGCGACCAAAGACAATGAACCAACGTTCAATGTTCACGTTCATTTACAGCACGTCATATTTATACATATTTTTAATCACATTGTAATCGACTCAGGGCAGTGGAAATAGATTGTTCTGATTGGTAGGCGGTTCAGCTAGGTCCGCAAAAATAAATATCTGAAACCTAGTGGATGCGTACTGCCAGTGAGTCCCAAACCAGGACCAAACAGCTGTCCAGTACTCCCTGGTTTTCAGTGGTTCTCTAACTGATATCAACCCACAGTCTAACCTGAAACAAATAGATTCCCTACAAACCAATTCTTGAAAATATTCTGACTGTTTGACGATTTGACCAAGACCAAGTTAAGAGAAGAAGATGATGAGATTTACAGTCATCCGACCACACGATGAATCAAAAGATGATCACTATTTTAAGCTGACTCCTATCTGTTGTTTATCTGCTAATTATTTTTCTTATGGTTTATCTAATTTCCTCATATTTGCGTTTAAATGTTTTCTGAACAGTAGCACATTAGATTCCTCAATAATTTATTCTTGACGAGTTTCCATTTTTTATATTCCTTCAAGTACCCAGTGGAACATAGGGATTCAGGATAGAGACTTGAAGATACGGTAGCAGTGGTGTTTATTTTTAGGGGATGGGATTGCTAGCCCCAAACCCCCAAACTTCGCTCTTTACCAGTCTTATTACTGACTTCTTGAGCAAGGGAAAGGAGTGCGGCGCTGGCCGGGAATCCAACCCCGTACCACATGCATGGTTGGCGAGCACTCCACCTCTGTGCCACCTACGAGTTTCCATGACAAACTGGAACTAGCTACAGAACCATTAGAAACCTTTCCATCTGTCTTTGAAATTCTTCAGCTGTACAAATATATGATCATTTGAGAAAAATTGAAACAATGAATGTACGAGTAGATTTTGGGCACTGTGGTGGTAGAATATAATTTCATATTAGGTAAGTTTATTTGGTATAACACAGTGATTGATTAAGTTTTAATTACTGGATGATGTTCCGAGGAAAATTAATCTGTGTTCACAATCATATCAGTGTGTTCACACAACTTGATAACTTGTTTGTATAGTTTTACTAGGAGGCACGTTTAGTTAAATGTTGAAGCAATCGTGAAACAATCTTGAGTAGCGCAAATCAGAAGATTTAAACAATCAAATCAAAGAAATTAGGAAGGCATTACTAGTGAATAACATACCTACCAGAATTTACTTGAAAATGTTGCGAAGACACATGAGAAAAATATAAGTAGTAATGAAAATAGTATACAGTAATGTTGCTGTATAAAGAAGGAACATCAGAAGTTTAACGTAGGATTCTTAGTAAGACAGCAGGAATTATGGTGGTATTTAAACCAACCAACTCGCTCAGACACAAACTGTGTCTGCTTAAACACCTTATAAGAAAGGGTAACATTTGCCAGATACCAAGCAATGGCTGTGAGCTGGGCTAGATTGGTCACAGTAATTGATAAGGGTCACTTAGATTTTTCGAACGAAGGAATTCAGTTACAATTAGAATGATTGAAAACATTTATTTCTCGATGCGAATTTAAAACAAGCAATAAAGGTTAATAAAGCAGGATTTAATGAATTCATCAAATTTCGGTAGAACTCGTCAGCTAAATACTATACATACACGAATATATATACTTTTGAAATTACATTGGGAGATATAAGACTGATAAGTGAATTAAATACATTGAATTAGTCAGGCAGAAAGACAGGTGCGAATGTTTTCCAGGTCATGTGCAAATAGATAAGGGGAGAGAGAGTATGCGAGAGATTAAAATTAAGATAAAATGCATTACGCTTCAACTACATCACTTAGATAAACAATTAGACATTAGAGAATATAACAAGAATTGCAAACAGAGTAATATCAATAGTAATAGTCATAATAACAATAATAATAGTGTTGAAGTGAGTCAAGATAATCCTACTGATAAAGGATAGTTTTAAATGAATCAAGAATAATAATAATAAGAGGTAGAATTATAAGTAAAACGTATTACCATGGTAGATTCAGAGTCACAACCATCTCCTTTTGTACACAGAGACCTGGTTTATAAACTCGAATTGCACAAGCCTCTGCAATTGCAAGCATCTTCTTGTTTCTTTGTCTGCTGACAATAGCGTCGATGTCATGTCCGTAATCCACAAGATGTTTTGTTATTGAGGATTTTGGCACTTTGCACTCAGCTGTTTTCAACCATTTCAGCAAATGCTCCATCCTGCAAATAGACAATCACCTTTCTGTACGGCCTACATATTTACTTCCACAAACACACTCAAAATGATATACGCAGTTTGAAGTGTCGAGGATTGGCGACTGGTCTTTCCCAGATTGTTGAAGCACTCGCTTAGTGGTGTTAAGGAAAACAAGTTTTGCAGCATAATAAGTTCTCTTGATGGCTTTGTCGAGTCTTCGTTTGACTACTTCCTGTACATCGTCTCCTTTGAACGGCAGACTGATATAGACAGGTTTCTTCGGAACTGTTAGGATTGTTTTGCAGGGGCTATTTTCTTTAGAGTATTTATTAATGAACTTCTCAGGATATTCATTCTTAGATAAAATATCCTTCAGAGATTTTATTTCATGCTTAACAGTACTATCAGAACAAATTTTTCTTGCTCTATTGAGCAGTGTTCTGACTAAGTCCTTTTATAATGGATTGGAACAAAGCTCTTGAAATGCATGTACTGTCCTGTCCATGAAGACTTTCTTAATATAGATCTTTCGATTGTGCCATCATTCATTTTCGCCAGGAAAACGTTTAGGAATTTAATAGTAACGTTTTCCTCGTGTTCTACTGTGAAATGATGATTGACTCTTCTAAGTTACACAGTCTGGAAAGGAGACTGGGTCACTGTAATGCACTCACGTGAATGTAATCACAAAATAAGGTGTGATAAAGTGAAAGCATTAGAAAGTAATACAGCTAGGTGGAGAGAGAGAGAACAATTCACGGAAAATTCCCATCGGGACATATCGAAAACCAAAACAAGAGATTCATCGAAGAGACTCTTTTTAATGGATTTTTTATCAAGCTGTACAATCATGTATATATACGTATATTTTTTACGAGTTGATCACGGATTGATATCAGTTAGAGAACCATTGAAAACCACCAGGGAGTACTGGACAGCTGTTTCATCCTAGTTTGGGAATCATCGTCAGCACGCACCCACTGCCAGGGCTGTAACCCAGGACCTTCCGGTTACAAGGCAAGCTCGTATACCATTGAGCCACTAGGACCCGATTCAATGGCTCATGAATTCTAACTTCTACCAATTCGTGATTTAGCGCGACCCCAACCATTGTCGTCGGGGGGACATCCATCCACACACGTGACATCTATTTGGACCTCACTGGTCACGACTTCTCAATGGAACTCCAGGAAACTCCATCCTGTAGCAAGTCGCTAGCGAGCATCAGATTAATTTTCTATAGTTTGGTTTGTAACTGATATCGATTAGTGATCAACTCGTAAAAACATAACTAACCCTTACAAACCAAACTATATATGTATAGTGAAGTTTGCAAACTTAACTGATAGAATTCAGTCTGCACCAAACAAAGAACTAGAAGAATGATACTAGTTAGTGTACAATCAAAGCATCCAATACGGTCCTACAGAAGGTAAATCGTGAGCCCGAATAGCTCACTTGTAACGTCTCCAACTGCAGAATTGATTGACACCGATTCGAATATCAAGAAGAGCCATGAGTTTCTTTAAGATTTCAGGTAGTCCTTGCTGACTGGTGAGTACTGCCGGCAAGCACGAAACCTAGATCGAAGGCTTCCTGCCGATTGTCTCTAACCATCTAATAAGAGAGTTCCTTCACTTATGACAATTTGTGAATAGATTTCCATTGTGAAATTAGATACTTCTGCAGAGTTCTTTCAATGGTAAACAGTAATTATTTATTATATTTATTTATTTATTTGTGTCTAAACACCAATTAAGTGTTGTTTCTTTCATTAGATTACATTGCTAATTTACTTAAATGTTATTTACACTGACAAGTAATGTGAAATGAGAGAATCTTTGATTACAACTCATTTTAACGGAATGTACATACATGCATATATATATGTACATGTAATTAATTGTAAATGTCAGCATAAATTCCATTGAAGAAAAACAATAACACAAAATGATAATATGCTGTTAGCAATAATAATGTATTCATTCATTAATTCGTTAAGAATCATTTAATAATTTATAATAGACAATGGCATCATTAGCCTTAAACCTGATCTTAATTAAGTCGATTCACTTATAGCATTAACCAAAGATAATAAACAAGTGATTGATTACTACAGTGTCACTGCTGTCATATTTCTAGTCCTTTGTTTCCATGCTGGTTTGATTCATCCAGTCAAGTTCACTGTGCGATCACCATTGCGACAGACTTCAGACTAGTCTAAGATTACCTTCAACCAACTAATACCTTCTCTTTTCAAGTATTGGTTTTGTAGGGATTTCGTTTGATTGCATGGAGGATTTCATCATGAGCTGACGAGCTCGCCTTGTAACCAGAAGGTCCTGGGTTCGAACCCTGCCGGTGGGTGCGTACTGATGAAGAGTCCCAAACTAGGACGAAACAGCTGTCCAGTACTCCCTGCAGGTTTTCCAGTGGTTCTCTAACTGATGTCAGCTCATGATGAAATCCTTCATGTAATACCTTCTCCTACATTTTTCTAATGTTCGGAGTTGAATGATATGCTGGGCTTTAAGCTTTCTGCCTTTTTGGAGTTTCAATAGCGGCGGTGATGTTTCTACGCGTGGAGGGTTGTCAACCAAACACCAAACCTTGCTTTTTTCCATGCTGACCACCAGCTAGTGAACTAGCCGCCAGGTTTTCAAATGCTTCAGCTGGTAATCATACCCGTATGGTTGACTAATGTTCTAATATGGAAACACTGACGCACAACTATAATAATTAAAGATGTAGAAAATATATTAGAATACAAACTTTTAATTACTAAAATTATTAGTGATGAACCTGAGAAAGGCGTGGCTAAGCAATGGGACATTCTACTTGCATTCTACTGGTGGTAGTTGCGTGTCTAATAGAAAAAATGTAGTTGCACAGAGATTCGTACTAAATACTATAAGCTTCAAACAACACCTTTACCTTGCTGCAATTTTACTTTAGCCAGTGAAAAATTTATTATGCCTTCATATATTACTTATATTACTTAGATCGAATATTCATCATCTGAAATAGCACACACGCACGCACAGCTGATTAACAACTAACCGTTAGGTCTCTTACTTTAATTATTGTAAATCCGTGTCGGTGTGACGTACTTTGAAGAGTAAACAGGGAATTCGCGAAAAGACGCCCATTCAATGGCTCCTTTCTCAAAAGCGGTAGGTGTCTTAAAGAATACCTTATCTGTAGGAACCGTGCGGCTGGTATCCTCTAGCCAACTGCTGCTCTGAAATAATTTGAAGCACCACTTCAGGAGGCGTATATCACTTCACTGCTGGATATATAGGTCATTCTATAAGCATCTTTTCAAAAGGTATTAGAGAAAACTATATAGTATAACTGCAAAGGGGTGACACTGGTCCACTAAAAAAGTGCTTTAATTAAACACTACGTCGTCACCTGCCATAATATCTCAACTGACTTAACATTTATAGTCATGTAGAAAGCAAAATAATCCGCTGATACAGTGTATTTCTAGCTTCTTCGTACTACAGAAGACCCTGACATATGCATAGGGAATCGGAAGTTGTGTTTTCAAAAGAAGCTTATTCTAGTTTTGTTTAATCCCTTTTCCCTAAAAACAAATCTGTACAGATTTTTGGTGTTTTCATTTAAATATACATTCTCTTTTTTAAGTACTGACTTTTTATTAAATGCCTTTAAAGAAATCAACATTATCTATATATTGAGGACGACTTCCATTCTGAATTACAGAGAATGCACATGACTGTTAAAAGTTTTATCGACAACAAGTAACTGAGTGATTTCAATAAATCTGTAAACTAACTATCAGCTTCATAAGTAAGGTATGCATTACTGTTTCGTCCGATATAAGTAGATTAGTTAAATGTAAAGTTGGGGGGGGGGAATTGGTATGAGTTTGCTCATTAGTTAGTGGTGATAGTAATAAAACCTGATTTGGTAACATCAGTCTCATTCAAAGATACTGCAGTATTCAGTGATAAAGTGTGCTGTGAATTATCCACGCTGGAATTCGGTTTCTAATTGTTTGGGTTTTGAATAGAACATGACGATTCAGGATTTTTATTGTTTCATTAGCAATGGTAGTGTGTTTGCAGGGTGAGGTTATTAACGTCACACCAATTTCCCTTCTTTGGTAAAGTTCAAAAACAGCGTCCCAAGGGATGCAAACGCATGAGTGACCTTCAGCCGATCAATCAAAAAATGAGGATTTTTTTACACAAAAAATGACGTATATTTACAAGAAAATGCTTGAAAACACATTAAACAGGGTATCTTTGTCTGACATGACTTAAAAATACTTTCCAGTTATAATGAGGAGTATCAGCTGCTAAGCTTCTCTACATGTATTCATCGAGGTGACTGAAGATGAGCTGTTTTTGTGAATCCTTTATCTCTCTTATCCTGTTATGCAGTCTTCCCCAAGAGCTCTCGGTTGAATTACTATAGTTTCCAGTAAGAAGATCGATGACTACTTACCAGGAAAATGTGGATAATAAAGCAAATTGAAATAAATGACATCAACTACTAATCTATCCCTAATCGTAACCCTAACCTTAATCCTAACCGAAATTAAAATCCTTATCCTAACCGTAAACCTAACCCTTAACCTAATGAGCTATTAACACATTGTCGAAACAGTACTTAAAAACGTGATCTGGGTGAAATTTTTTGCTTATTTGATGAATAGCATTGATATTTCGGCTGTGATAACGACAGGTGCCGTCAGGCAATGACTAGCATGCGTTCAAGGTCACTGGAACGTTTGCACTCTTGGGACGCTATTGTTGAACTTTGTCCCTTCTTTTTCCTGGCAAGCAACCGCCTAGAATAAAAGGCAGTGCATTGGAGTGAGTCACAACCCAAACCACCTGCGTAGCTGGTGATCTTTATAGCATTAAGCCACTAACACACACATACACACATTTATTCTTGGCGCACTCTCATTATTATTATTGTTTCCTTTAATTCCCAGAGGAACATAGGGCTTCAGCCGTGCCTCTCCATTGCGTTCGGTTCTCTGCTAGAGTCTTCACCTGGCTCCATGTCTGCCCACACGTTTTCATCTCCTCTTCACATGACCTCCTCCAAGTCACCCTTGCACTGACGACCAACTCACCGCTTCCCTTTCGGGTTCCACTCGAGCAATGGCTTGTCTAGTGATGTCACTTGATGGTTTCCTCAGAGTATGGCCAATCCATCTCCATTTCCTCCTGCCTATTTGTTTCACAATCGGTTCCTGCTGTGTTGGTTCGCTCCCAAAGATCTCCATTGCTGATATTTGCTGGCCATCTGATCTTGAGTATTGAGCGAAGACAACTGTTAATGAAGGTCTGTTGTTTGTTTGAGATGCTCCTTATGACACGCTGGCCAAGTCTCTGATCCATATAGTAGCACTGACTTCACATTGGAGTTGAAAATCCGGATCTTATTTTTGACACTGAGTGGTGTTGACCTCCACACAGACTTGAGAGTAGTGAAAGCATGTCTTGCTTTTCCGATTCTTGCTTTGATATCCTCGTCAGTTCCGCTTGTAGTTGAAACGATGCTTCCCAGGTAGGGGTAAAGGAGGTTGTTTCTTTCAGGTTCCTTCCATTTATGCTGATCGTTGTCTGCTGTTGTTGTTCTTGTCCAAGAATCTTTATCACCTCTGTTTTCTGTTCTCAGGATACTAATAAAAGATAATAAGTAGTAATAGCAGTATGAGCAGTTTTTCTCTGTAAAAACAAAGATAAAATTCACTGATTTTATTTGATTTTAATAGATTTAATCGATTTCTTATAATTTTCTACCTGCTCACTCATTGTTTTACCTTTCAGTTACGTTTGTCATATGGATGGATACTTCAGTTATTTTGAATTCCAAGGGAAGTCTGTCATCATCTTTCGTACACAATGAACAACAGCCACAATAACAGCAACAACAGATTAAATCAGTTTCTTATTGTCAGTGTGTTCGTGTTCATGATCGCGATTGCTGTTGTGGTTGTGATCGTTGGTTTTCTTATTTAAAACAACTGTGCTGTTTTTTTCTCATTTCGAAGCAATAAGAAAACAAATTGTATTCTGCAATTTCTACTCATAAGTTGATGCTAAACACTGTTGTCTAACCGTTGTTTTTTTATACAAGTACAGATGTGTAATAGGCCATAAAGATTCTTGTTGTAAAACTATTTAGGCTTAACTTATTATCCTCTCTATCTATCTTATGGTGTGTGTACTTGTTTTCATTTGAAATATTATGTGTAATTGCATTTTGTGTATGAAAAATAAGAAGAATTATTATATATATATATTATTTAATCTTGAAGTTATGTGCTTCTCGGTGGCTGGTAGTAGAACAATAGAATATAATGATTCATCCTGTTTGGGACTCATCAGTTTCATAGTGAGTGAATAATGTTGCTCCCCCTCCCTCTCCCCTCTTTCATGAGACTCGGACCAAGTAGGCGAGTTATCCGCTAGACTATTGTGCCATGGGGACCATCTCTAGTAGGACGAGTATGATTTTACATTAATAGAAATGCATTTGGCAATGCGGTTAGCAAGTCTCTAAACCATATAGAATCTTTAAATATAAACATTGTCAACATTAGAACAAGACATACAGGCTAACAATACTGTTTCCAATTACGTCTTCTTCAGGCTTTACTCTAATTTACACAGCTTTATATGTAAAAAAATCTAACCAATGACGATGAGTTTGTGGATGAAATTATAACAATAGTGATAATAAAGTGTTAAATGTTCCGAGTGCCAGTAATAACGATGATTATAACGCTAACAAAAATAATGATAACAATGTTCATGCAGGTAGGTGCGGAGAAGAATAGGGAAGGTAGTAATATGTGTGTGTGTGTAGACAATTCAATAAATAAATTATGTCTAATCTTAAAAGTTACGTAATACTGAAGGTGAAGTGGACAGATAATCAGAGTTTATTTAAGTACCATAAAAGTATGAAGGAAATGGGAAATAAGAAAGTGTGGGAGGGTTTTAATTAGAGTTTACCTAGGTCAAGTAAAAGACAGAAGTAGAAAGAACTTCTTTTCTTTGCAAAGACTAGGACTGTTCTCTCGAATTCCCTTATGTTCGGCTATGTGTAAAAGGCCGGTATAAATTCCGTTCGAAAAGTTCGATGGAATGCGATAGATAACTTTGAAGGCACTCCTTCTGTCCACTTGGTGACTGCTATCAATGAAGTGGGACAAAATGAAACTTCTTATAGCTTTTACTGGACCTTTTCTGAACCATGCTGGAAGATGCTCGACAATACGTTTGTTGAGCTGTCTAGTTGTTCGTCCCAAATAGCTTTCTTCGCAGGAGCAGCTAAATTTGTAAATACACATAGAATTGGCATTGTATACACAATCTTTTTTTGGTAATTTCACTTCAAAACTGTACAGTGTTGTAAAAGGTCAGAATTGCAGTAAGGTTATAATTAGTCCAGTCAGTTGCTACGAAAATATATGAACTTATATTATCAAACAAAATAATATATTAAGCAATTTGTAAAAAAAATGAGTAATAAGAATCGCTTAGAAGTGCTTCCTACTTAAAAAAATATTAATGGCAAGAACTTGGAAAGAAGAACATTGTTCAAAAGGCTGAGTGATTCAGAATACTTGTAAAATTTAATTTAAAGTTAGGAGTTTGTAAGGAAGAAATCAGACGAGAATAAAAAACACCCAGTGAATAAGGATTACATGCCAGGTTACTGTGGTGCGAGCTAAAGAAAGGCAAGTTTGTGGTCACAGTAGTGAAAGGGAATGGATATATTACTTCTTTATACACAATTTAGGGTTTTCCCTGTGTATGACAGGAGCTTCTGCTGTGGACAGAACACTTAACCGGAAACGCTTCAAACGACTTGGTGTTACCTTATATATCACTTTGAAAGACTTTTCTGTTGATGCAAAATGATTAGTAAGAACAAGATGCTGAAGAACTGAACTTTTTGTTAGTCATATTTCTCCTTTTGATGATCATGTCGAGAGATTTTCACTGATATGGCATAAATTTTGAAAATTCAGATCCTTTTCTTTATGATAAATACTGTAGATCTCTACACTAATTTCAGAAAAATGACCACTTGTCTCGATTTCATGATTCAAGTTGACTTTAACATCCTTATCCATACCATCTACAGTTGAAATGATTCCGGCTACTTGATGGTGATACGTGTTTGCTGTTGTCTGTCGGATATCCTCATCACCTACGTCTTCTTCGAGTTTGTTAATTTTCTCTCGTTTTGTTTATAAGTGATGAAAGTCACTACAGGTACTTAGAACTGTGAATAACGTCCATGGATTGACTGCTTTAGAAGACGAATGAAGATTAGAACAGTATGAAAAAAAGGAATTTTGATGAAGTGTAACACTTTAATGAACTGGTGCGCAGTGTTTTTGAAAACCACAAAAGTCAGGCACTAACTGGTGATTGATGTCTCGTGTACAGATGATATATAGTAGGACTCGCAACAAATAAATTTACTGCAGAAGATACAGTTTTCCTAAACTATTTTCACTGATAGACATTTCTTGTCAGGTGAGTTAATCTTCACATGCGTACACAGTGATACAGTTAGAAGGAAATGTATCATCCGGCTAACACTGCTTACTGACTACATAACATACTTAAAGTTTTTTTTTATTCTTAAGCAAGGTATATATTTTCTCTTAATCTAAACTTTGAAATTTTTTCAGTCGATATTATTAGAGTTTAACTTAAAGTGTAGACAGCGAGAGAGAGAGAGAGAAAGTGATAAAATCAGTCTTTTTTGATGTTTCTTTTTTTTTTTCTATAGCCCACATAAATGTCTGGTGTGGTGACACATTGAACAATGATACTTCAGTATTCCTTAAAAACGGTCTTCTATTCTAAAACTATGCTGATAAAATTATGTTGTGGGATCGATCAATAAGTTATATTGAAGTTTCTGTGTCTATTGACCATAACGTGGTAATACTTTCTGTTTTTTAATATCGAAATAGCAAAGCCACTATGGTTATTTAGAAACAAATTCTGAGCTTTATAGACTAATGTTGGTAATACATTTCTTAAGAAAGACACACAAAGAAAAACAGAAGCATTAAAAACTAGGGTCAAGTGTTTCGACCTCGTCTGAGGCTCTTCAGTAACTCTGATCCATGGGCTCATAAGGGGTCGAACATAGAGCCTTTAGTTTACAAAGCGAGCCTATTGACCATTTAGCTACTGAGATGTAATTTAATAGTACACAAGTTGACTGGTTCTCTAAATGATATTGGTTAATTGTCTATCTGTAAATCAATCAAGTCCCTACGAACCAAATCTTGAAAATTAATCCTCTATTCTTTAGCAACCAACTACAGAACGGAGTTCATGGAATTCCAGTAAGAAGTCATAACCAATTGGTTCTACGAAGTCTGGTGTGAAAAAACGGATAGCTGCCATTGACACTAGCCGGTTGTGGTGATAAATGTCTAAATGTCTGAAGAAGACATTTCCAACAGCGACCTTACGTATCACATTCTCTAGCAGAAAGTTAATCCAGTCTAACGTTAAGGATGAGATACCGGTTTTGAACCCTTCAGTGTGTATTTATCAATTTACTTGCTCGTGTGCAGCAATGTACATCGGCCGTACTCAACGTTAAGTCCACAAATGTATTCTGTAACACTGTCCAGCTTGGTTAGCCAGAGGAGAAAAAAGAATAGCAGCAGCTCTATTCTCGAAAACCTTGTCATCTCCGGACATCGAGCACGCCCACATGAATGATTCAAAGTGCTACACAAAGTCCCTCGATATCGTACAAAGGGACTTTGCATGCGCCATCTGTACATAGCTGAAGCATTAGTTATTCGACATCTGTGCGTCCGGGGCGTCGGTGGCACAGTGGTTAGGACTCTCGCCGACCATGCACATGGTCCGGGGTTCGATCCCCTGCCGGCGCACACCCGATATCTATGGTCGGCCTGTAAACTTGGGCTACCGATATCCATGCTGAAAATTCCATACTTGTACTGAAAATACGGTGTGGAATCAAGCTGTAATCAAAATATAAAAAAAATTAAAAAAATCTGAAATCGGAGCTCTGCATTCAAAAGCGATATACATTCTCTTGCCCTACGGTGGGCAGAGTGAATTTCTTATTATAATTTTGCTTCTTTTTTTTACGTAATTTCACTATTATTATTGTTATTACTACTATTATTTTATTATCATTATTATTCCCAACATCCATATTTTATTACCACTCTATAACCGTTTATTAATAACGTTGCTTTTTCATACGGATTTTATGTTTAGACATTCTATTGTCTTTCCACTAGTTCCTGTCCATTCTACACGAGCTTATCGACTAGTCATTATCTCACACTTATTACGTCATGCCAACTTTTGCCTCTTTTCTAACTTACAGTTAGTCATCCCTTCTTACACCTTACATTATGTTAAACATTTTTCGAGGACAAAGTTTACCAGTATCTGATTGGTCTAAAGACTTCTTTGTTAAATATAATTACGATTGTACAGCTTATGAAAATGAGTCGTTAAAAAGAAAATTTTCTTCGCTGTTTGCGCCTTTTTCTTATGACTCAATATGGGAATATTTCGTTCACTGATGTATATATATATTGCAAATCAACAGAAGTTAGAAGTGATGGGCCAAACGGATTCCGTTCCAGTAGCTCAATGGTTAGCGAGTTCACTTTGAAACCTGAGCGTCCTGAGTTCGATCTTCGGAAGAGTCAGCGGTGGGAGCTGCTATGAAATCACCAACTAGGTCAAGACATCTGTTCCGTAATGCTTGGTCTCTAACCATTGTCTAACTAATGTTCATGTGTGATCTGACTAGAAATCGATCAAATCTCTACAAAACAATACTTGAGAAAGAAAGAAAAGATTGCAGTATAATGTAAAAACTCCCATGTCACTGGAAATTGCCAGCCATTGGTTTTGAACATTTTGGAAAGTGATGTCAATAAATGTAATGATTCTTCCACTGTTGAAATCGAAATTCAGACATTACATGTACTGACTGGTGCAATGTCTTGGTCTGTGTGTCGCCAATTTTTTGAAGTTATTTTGACTTTAGTCAGCATAACGTATTTTCGTATCCAATGGGAAGAAATATGTGATATATTGTTCTGGAGGACTCACTTGTTGCTGACGCACTTATGCTGTTATTTTGGCCTCTTTGTTATGTATTTTTAAGCCTAATTCTTCTGGAGGGGTTTCATCACGCTGTAGAATAGGCATGAACATACCTATCAGCATAGTAAAGAAACCTCCAGATTGTTCC